TCCTTAGTATTCTTTAAAACTAAATGTTTCTGCATTGGTATTATGTGTGAGTTCAGTTTTTCCCAATGTTCCCATATTTCTAGATCCTCCTAAAAAACATACATTCAGAAACACCCAAGTGCACACTGATAAGGAAAAGACAGTATAACCGAAAAACAAAACTGGCAAGATTGCAGATTCCTCTTATTTCCGACATAAATAAGAAACAGAGAGTAATAATGCACATCTGTGCTTTATTAATCGTTTACCTCATAAGTTTTTAATATCTCCTGCATTGGACTCTATTGGCTTAGGCATTAATTCAGAAGACCAAATAAACCAAANTCCTTAGTATTCTTTAAAACTAAATGTTTCTGCATTGGTATTATGTGTGAGTTCAGTTTTTTCCAATGTTCCCATATTTCTAGATCCTCCTAAAAAACATACATTCAGAAACACCCAAGTGAACACTGATAAGGAAAAGACAGTATAACCGAAAAACAAAACTGACCAGATTGCAGATTCCTCTTATTCCCGACATAAATAAGAAACAGAGAGTAATAATGCACATCTGTGCTTTATTAATCGTTTACCTCATAAGTTTTTGATATCTCCTGCATTGGACTCTATTGGCTTAGGCATTAATTCAGAAGACCAAATAAACCAAAAGTAAGATTAGTGTGTGTATGGAAAGTGGGTAATTGAGGAACAAGGAGAATAAGAAACATTGAAGAGAAGGGAAGGAGGTGATCTACTTAGTAGCAGTAAAAACTAAAGAACTTGAGCAATGAATAGAAAGTGAACTAATGCAGAGGTCCTGAGGTTGTGGAACAGGAAGCTCAGAATACATCAACTGCTTTTATTAAGCAGACATCAACCTGGTAGAAGTTCACACTGATTGTTAAAAATTAGTCAGAAATTGTATATGTATGTATACTTATGGTAACTTAAAAGTGTTCATAGCCTTTGGCCCAATAATTCCAGTTCTAGGGACATTGTTCCTAAAGAAATATATGTATGTATGTATGTATGTATGTATGTATGTAT